TGCAACGAACGCGGTACGCGATCCTGTCGCGAATTTTTAAAGTGACGCGCGCGCAACATGCGATAAGAAAGTGGATTTGGGATCAATTCTGATGTACTAAACCTTTAGAATTCCAATGATATCATTGGATAAAGCTCGTTTTCGACTATATATAGTGGCAAACTCTTAATTCTATCTCATGTGGGTACAGAGAAAATTTATTTTTATTTTCATAGACTACTCAAAATTTTCCGCCTTTTTTGAAATGATACCTATTTTTAAAATGCATGTAACTCCGGAACGAAGCATTTGTGTGAGCCGGGACTTGCAGGCTATTCCTGTCTAGTCTAGATCTACATACTACATTTGTTTCATCAAAATCGATGTTATTCACGGAACATCGTCTGTCGCAGTTCTCATGTAATGACTCCTAAGAGTGTAGCTGCAGTAAAAGTCTGACGATGTCGTAGAGAAAATGTCACTGTGAAACTACTACACTGTTAGTGTGAGAACGATATTGCATCTTTTACCACAATGATTTCTTGTATAAGATACGAACTTATGAGAATGTTATCTGTCAAATTTTAGTGTCTTAAACACTTTTACCATGATATTACCACTGTACTGAATATTAAAATTTAATACGACGGTACTGTGTTTTAACCGTAGCTTTTTTATGCTTTTATCATGAATTTTTTTACAGCGTAGCACTTGTATGTACGTTGTATTAAGCACAATCAAAGTTGTCTCTTGATACCTTGATACCTTGATTTTCAACTTTTTTAGGTAAAAAACTACTTATTCATTACTTGAATAAAATCTTGTACTGCATTCATGTCTGAAGATTCACGTGGAGTTGGTCGAGCTCGTGGTCGTGGACGAGCGAGAGCATTTTGGACTCCAGGTAAGCAGAGTAGAATTGAAAAAACTGAAGAATGGTATCGGATTAGTAAAATTTCTTTTAGGGACTGATAGTGGCAGGCATACACCAAGCGACATTCTATCGTCTGACGCTGATGTTGGAATCACAACAGAAGCATCTACGGGACTCAGTTTTACTGAAAAATCTGAAGTATGACTCGATTATACCGAATAATTTAGTCACTGTATGCTTCAAATCCTGTTTCAGAGTACAACACCAAAATCATTAGAAAGTGCTGTTGACAAACTCATTCCCAAATTAGCTACGATGTCTACTAAATCACCATTCCCTATGCGGGTTGATTCACAAGAAAAACGAGGTTGGTGCTTCGATCCTATGTTCTGAAAAAGAAAGGTTATACATTTTCTACTATAGGTGTTAGTGGTGAACAAATTCGAATTGTGGCTAATTATATAAAAATACTGACCGGTAAATGAGCGATGTTTATCTTGTGCTGCCGTATTATCGAACTATTTTTAGCACCACAATGGCAATTGTATCAATATCATGTATCGTTTGAGCCGGATATTATTGAAATGAAAAAAATGCGACGTGAATTGCTTCAACAACACCGTGGAATGATAAACGATGTAGCATTTGACGGTACAACATTGTATTCGTTTAATGACTTAGGTGAAGTAAGTATATTACAGTTTTCTTTTATAAAGGAAAGTTATTCTATGTGATATATTTCTAGAAAAAAATTTTCATTAGTAAACATGTAGTGACAAATGACAATATCGAAGTTCGTCTAGTCAAAACATCAGTTAATGCTGCTGAATCACCAGCATTTTTTCATTTAGTCAATTTAATTATTCGAAAGTAAGTCAGGCTGAGATAATGAGTTAAGCGCTACAAAATATGGTTTGAAAACTGTTTAGATTACTAGAGATATCTGGTTTGACACTCATTGGTAGAAATTATTATCAATATGATCGTAAAGTCGACATGACCACTTATAATTTAACATTATTTCCTGGTTTTTTGACAAATGTCAGTTTACGTGAAGGTAAAATTCCTTGTGTGAAGTAGCAGTACATTTATAAGAAAGAAAGTTATTTCTGATGTTTTCTGTAGGTTCATTGATGATCAATGTTGATCTTTCACATAAAGTAAAATTACCTTCAACATAGTTTTCTACTCTTCATAATAATTTATTCTCTTGTATTTAGGTATTGAATAAAACAACGGTTTACACTCGTCTGCAGGACATATTTACTCACACTCCAGAATATCGACGAGCTCAAGATGCAGCAACAAGAGAATTGCTCGGTCAAGTTGTCTTAACAACGTATATCAGATGACCAGCTGTCTATCTGTTTCAACTCATATATTTTTGTTCTGTTGTTTTAGGTACAATAATAAAACATACAAAATTGATGAAATTGCTTGGGATAAAGATCCAAAATTTTCATTTAAAAAGCATAATGGTAAAGAACAATCATTGATGCAATATTATCAAGAAGTACGTTTATAAATGAACAGAGAAAGCAACTCATTTATACAGACTGTAATATCTCTTTGTTTTCTTAGCGTTATCAAGTTGAAGTTAAAGATGCTTCACAGCCACTGTTGATTTCCAAACCATCAAAAAAAGATCGTCTGGGTGGAATTCAGGGACCAATCTTGTTGATTCCGGAATTATGCTGTGTTACTGGTTAGTAAAATTCAAAAATACTAGTTTTTAGAAGATTGAATGGCGACTCATACTGTAGATATTTGTCCGAATATTCGAAGACGGCATTTTCCGTGAAACTTTTAAGAAAGAAGACATTCATATTTCTGATAACTATTACATCCATTCGTATGTATCAAGTAAGCATACAGACAATTTGATTCAGCTAGATTCTTGATTCATAAACGCTCCCAACAAGGTAAAATCATATCAGGGATATTTTAAGGAAAATCACTAACCGTTCATTCTCATGATGGAATAATATTGAGATTCATCACTACAGAAGAATTTAATATGTAAAGTCTAAGTCTGATATCAGAAAGAGTATTTAATACTTTCGGGACTAAGTTTTACTGAGCAACTTCAAAAAAGTTTCTGAGTACCTTTTTTCTCGTTTTTCATCCTTTTTATTCAAAAAAGTTAGTTGATAACCAAAAAAAGAAAAAAACGTCATCAGAGTGAGCAAATTTTTTAATGAACTAGTAGTCTTGTTTCTCAATTGAGTAATTCATTTCAAACAAGGAGATAGATTTCTTCCTCCTTCTACCCTAATCAAAATTACTGCTAAAAAGGTACACTTTGCGACGACCTTGAACGCAATCTTTTCTTTTTCTCCTGCATAGGTATATCCGAAGAGATGCGTTTGAATTTTCAATTTATGAAAGATATTTCTAATTATATTCACGTTGATCCAGTGAAACGTTATCAACGATTAAAAGATTTTAATATGGATATACGAAGGTCAGTAGTTGGTTGAAGAAGGAAACTTTGGTATGATGTTTATATGTTGAATTTTTTAGTCATCCAGATGCTAAAAAGGAATTAAAAAAGTGGAATATTGAATTAGCCGAAGATTTAGTCGAATTTGATGCACGAAATATTGGTACAGAAGAGATTAATTATGGAAATGTAAGAGGCAATGATCGACATGGTGCCTTGATGATCCTTCGGATTTTTTATCTGAAACAGATATTAGCATTTTAGACTAGTTTCTGATCTGATGCTTCTTTCATTTTCTTTAGCGTGTTGTTAAATACAAATTGGAGGAAGCTGATTGGTCAAGAGAAGGACGAGCTCTCCGTCATATAAGTGCAAAAAATCTTATCAACTGGATTGTCTTATTTGCACCTAAAGATCGAGGTATTTCACTTATAGATATACGCCATAGAAACTCCACTACGTTTGTGGGCAGTGCGAGTGAATAGCGTGAAAATTTTTCAATAGGATCATGCCTACGAGAGATCATTATGCCAGAAAGTTATCAGAAAGATGCCAGCAAAAGTCGAAAGAACATCAATTTTTGTCCTCAAAATCAAATTCCTACATTTACTGACACATCTTCCTATAAAATATCGAATGTAAGAAGTAACTTAGATTTATAACCTTTCGACTTCTTAAAATCCATTTTTGCTATAACTTTTGATCCTAAATTTTTTTCTCAAATTTGTTCGCCACAATCTTCGTTTCCGGACTATAGTATGTCATGGATAGAGGAAAATGTTACCTTTTTAACTGTTGATGTCTGTTGGTCTTGTTTCTCACGTTGCTCGATTGTATGCCTAATTTTTCTTTTCACTAAAGTTAAAGTAAGAGCCCTTCCACTTTTAGTAAGTTTACATAATTCCCTTACCAGTTGCTTTGTTAAATAAATTCCTACCACTCGAAATATCAATCTTCGAATTAAAGTGATTTTATACTTGTTTGTTTGACAACTTCGATGGTATAAATACAAGTCGGTGTTTCTAGAGCATACCATCCTTATATTGTTCATTATTTGAGTTTTATTATAATCATAATAATTTTCAAATCAATTTTTAGTATTTTTCATAAAGATATCCGCTACGATGGGGACTGAAAGAGATCTCTACTCCATCCATCTGTTGATATAGTTGATCATAAAATGGCTCGCTAGATTTTTGACCTTCAATTTTGTAAACTATGTCTTTTTTTTCTCATTATGATTGTCCTAGCCAAACCAATTATTTCTTGAACTGGAATACTGCGGTAACACATAGACGCTATGCTTTCGTTCTTTGCAGTGTTGAATGGAAAGACTAGATTAGAAAATGAACAGTATACATCTGCCTGTATTATTATTCTTGTCTTTAAGTTTTTTTGTGCCCGAAATTAAGACAGATTTGTGCCCGTTTAAGATTTTTTGTGCCCGATTCGGATACAAAAAAATCTTTTTACACTTTTGTACCTGGAGATAGATGTGTGCCCGGATTTGGTTGATTATGCCCGGTTTTAATTAGATTAGGAATAATAATGAGAAAGATCTCAGCTTATCATCACCATTTTATTTACTGAAGTAGTGGCAGAAATAGAAAGAATCTAGCTGAATCAAATTGTCTGTATGCTTACTTGATACATACGAATGGATGTAATAGTTATCAGAAATATGAATGTCTTCT